ATAATTCACAATAAAAAATTTAAAACATTTTTTTTTTGTTAGGTAAACTAAAAAAAGGGGAAGAGGACATGAACAAACACTTCACCAAAGAAGACATTCAGGCAGCCAACAAACCTGAAGAAATGCTCAAGATCATAACCATTAGAGAGATGCAAATCAAAACAACGAGATATCATCTTACTCCAGCATTAATAGCAAAGTTCAAAAACAAAAACAGCAGCAAATGCTAGTGAGGGTGTGAAGAGTCAGGGAGCCTCCTAGACTGCTGGTGGGACTGTAAAGTGGTGCAACCACTGTGGAAAATGGTATGGTGCTTTCTCAAAAAGTTGGAAGCAGAAATACCATATGACCCAGCAATCCCTCTACTTGGTGTCTATCCTCAATAAATAAGAGCTATAATATGAATAGATCGGTGTACAACCATGTTGATTCCAGCATTATTCACAACAGTAAAAGGATGGAGACAGCCTAAATGACCATCAACAGAAGACTGGATAAACAAACTTTGGTACATACACACAAAGGAATACTATGCAGCACTGAAGAATAATGATGACTCTAAGAAACACCTCATAACACGGATGAACCTGGAGGACATTATGCTGAATTAAATTAGCTAATCACAAAAGTACAAATATTGAATGAGACCATTTGTAAAAAGTTAAAAAAGGTTTTTGTTTTTGATAATAGAAACATTCTATGATGGTTAAACAGGGTAGGAAGGAAAGGGAAAATTATTCATGGCTAGAGAGCAGACACATGTTAAGTTGCTTGATGAGGAAGGCAATATAAAATGAGGTTGGCAAAGGAAAAGATTAAGGTAGTGAAACACACAGGGAGGAATGTAAGAGTTTATGTGACTGGAGGTAAATACTATTAACTGATGATACATGGAAAGGGATTACAATCATTGTAATGAAACGAAGTATATGATTTATTGAATGCAAACTTATGATTTGCTCTATAAACATTCACTTAATTCATAACAAAAAGTTTCTAAAAAATTTTGTTAGGAAGGAATCTAAATTAATGAGATGAAACTTAACATGTTTGAAATGACCACAAAAACTCACACATACATATAAAAAAGAAGGCTTTAAAAAAATTGTGGAAAAATTGAACTTAAAAGATCATGGATTTTTTTCATGAAATTTTGAAGCTCTCTTCTACACACACATATAAAAACACACTGCCATCGATTCCAACTCATAGCGAACACACAAATGCAAAAAACCCCCACAATAAGTAAAAGGTCTTTGGGGGCCAGTCTCACTCTGTTAAGTCAATCAGACAAAAGGTAAGTACTTTAAAAACACTGTCATTTACTTCAAGCAAGAGGAAAATGGCAGCATTGAGAAATATGTTCTCAAAAGCTGTTAAATTTATATTTTTTCTCTTTTATCAGTGTTGAAACCCTAGTCTGTATTCTGTGCTTTTCAATCTATATCAGTTATAATGGTAGCTTTTTTTGATGCAGTACAATTTTGAAATACCTTTTTTAAAATCCTTGGTGTAATGTTAACAGGAGAGAAAGAACATGCTGGACTCTTCTTTGAAAATCTTAAAGACTTAGTTCATCAAATACGCTAATCAAGTCTATTTTTAAAACTCTATTGTATGAGTAGTTATAGGCATACTGAGTTGTCTGAAATATGTTATCTAACTGTATTGTAGGTTGTATATACAGTACTCACCAGTACATTTGGAATTGTGGTAATAAGAATGTCGTGCTGATCTGCTAAAAAAAAAGAAATGTAAATGACACATAATTGACAGCTTATTAACAATTGAGCAAATACTGAAAATGAAAAAGGGACAGTATTGTACATAGCTTTTACTTTTCATGTTTCCAACACATAAAATTTATCTTATATTTCTTGTTAAATCCTATTTGCTCCAGTCTTTTGAAAGTGAATTATCTGAGATTTTTACCATAATAGATTTTTAAGCTAGATTTGGTTTTACTTTTATCATTTCCTAATCTAATTCCTTCAGTATAGATTGCCCTTCAATGTGAAGAAAACAAAATTCCTTACAACTGGGCCAATAAATAACATCATGATAAATGGAGAAAAGATTGAAGTTGTCAAAGATTTCAATTTGCTTGAATTTATGATCAACACTCATGGAAAAAGCAGTCAAAAAAATCAAACAATGTATCGCATTAGGCAAATCTGCTGCACAAAACCTCTTTAAAGTGTTCAAGAGCAAAGATGTTAGTTTGAGTACTAAGTGCACCTGATACAAGCCATGGTATTTTCAGTAACCTCATATGCATGTGAAAGTTGGACAACAAATAACGAAGACCTTAGAAGAATTAAAGCATTTTAAGTTAAGGTGTTGGAAAAGAATACTGAAAGTACCATGGACAGCTAGAAGAACAAACAAATCTGTCTCAGAAGATGTACAGCCAGAATACTCCTTAAAAGCCAGGATGGTGACATTTCGTGTCTCATACTTCAGACATGTTATCAGGAAGGACCAGTCTCTGGAGAAGGACATCGTGCTTTGTAAAGTGGAGGGTCAGTGAAAAAGAGGACCCCCAATGAGATGGATTACACAGTGACAGCAGCAATGGCAGTAGCTTTAACGAGGTTAGTGAGGATGATGTAAGACTAGGAAGTATTTAGTTCTGAAGCTCAATGAGGTAGAACTGGCTTGAGGACACCTAACAACAACAGTCTAAGGAGTTCTGGTATCATAGTGTTTACAAGTTGGGCTGTTAACCTGAAGGTCAGCAGTTTGAAACTACCAACTGTTCTGTGGGAGAAAGATGAGGCTTTCTGCTCCTGTAATGATTTACAGCCTTGGAAACCCTATACTGGGTCCCTATGAGTCAGAACCGACTCCACGGCACAACAAAGTTAATAAAGCAGTTTGGGCTCCTGGGCTAACCCTGAGGCACTTGATCTTTAAAAAAAAACAAAAACAAACAAACAAACCTATTTTGCGAATTGCATGAAGATTTACAGAGCAAATCAGTTTTCTATTCAATAATTCATGTACATTTTATTTTGTGTCATTGTAATCCCCACAATGTAATATCCCTTATCCCACCACTACTTCCCTATATTTCCTATTTCCGTTCCTTTTTCTTCCATAATTCTTATGAGTTTTGTCCTCGGGTAAATGTTGCCCTTTTGATTATTCTAAGGTGTGCGTAGATGTTTGTGTATCCATTAGTCCATTAGACTAACTGTTTCCATGCATTTCAGTGGTCTTCATTCTTTCCTCTGGACAGGGAGAAACCAATATTGTATAAGACTCTTGTTGCTACTCACCAAATTAGGATGTCAAACACTGTCATTGTGGATTGTCCCCCAAGACCATGGTCCTGAGCTCTCCCAGACCCAGTGACTAATTCCTTTAAGGTGTTAGGTTATGTCTGAGAAGTTTTTATAACTTTACCCAATGTATGCTCCACCACATTCATGGATAGATTTGTAGCAAAAGTAAATGTTGTTGTTGTTGTGATGTGCCATGGAGTCTGTTCCAACTCATAGGACCCTGTACAGGGTTTCCGAGGCTATAAATCTTTACGGGAGCAGAAAGCCTCATCTTTCTCCGGTGGAACAGCTGGTAGTTTCGAACTGCTGACCTTGTAGCTCAAAGCCCGATTGGTAACCACTATACTACCAGAGCTCCTTAAATACCCATCTACAAATATCCTCTGCCAAACCTCCTATAGTATTGGTGAGTACAGTCCCACTCACCCTCTCATAGCTGTTCAGCCTGTGTGTCTATCCAGGCATCTACTCATAGATCACCGTTAATGTAGAATTGTGGATATAAAGATTTACCTCTATTGCCTTTAACTCTTACACTCCTCCTAGTTTGTTCCCTTGCCCATGTGGCCTTTCCTTGCAGTTTTTAATGAAGACAATCCTATATTTTATGTAATTAAGGTATGATAGAACGGATCATTTGGTCCATAATGTCTCTAATTCTGTACAAGTTCTTTTTTTCTTTTCTCAAATTAACTCAACACCCTTCTCTTACCACAATTTGTGCAATGACCATGGGTGTATTGATTTCCTCATATACGGAGGATCCAGCAATCTCTCAAGCACTCTAAAGAACAGGAAAGAAACACAAGATCCCACCCTGTAAGTATTGGACCACAAGGTTAAAAGAAAGCAAGGGTGGGGGTGGGGAATGACTGCAGCAGGAGCTATGCCTGTGGGTTGAACTGGGCAGCCAAAAGACCACTGTTTGGCTGTGATAGTGCCGTGTTAGGAGTTGGGCTGCTGACCACAAGGTAAATCGTTTGAATCTGTCAGCTGCTCTGCTGGGGGGG